AATATGATTATCTTGTGAGATGAATAATCGTATCTACCTTGGCTTAGTCTCTATCACTCCTTACACCTTCATTGTGACCCTGATCATCTCTCGAGCTTTTTGGTCTTTGGGTTTTGATTAGTTGTTGATTTCGTTTTAGGTTTTTGATTGGAGTTTACGCGTTTGAATTCACCATGATATGATTGATGAACAAGAAAGATGAGAGGAACAAGTTAGTTTGTTATATAACTGGAAGTAATAGAGATCATCTAGAACTCACAGTGGTTTGACAGCCCATGAAGAGAGGTGGGGTCGGGGACAGCTGAGCCTAAGGGGGTCGGAGTCTTAGTGTACAGCTTGTCTTAGGGGTTTAATCCATTTTCGCCGAGAAACTGGGTTGTGCCTTTAGTGTCATGATAAAGCTACCAAATAAATGAGAACCTCTCAAGCTTACAATGTGCATATGGTTTATTATGGTCCCACACTTGCAGTTCTTGGGGTACGTGGTTCATATGAAGTGTGGTTGTACTCACATTCATTGGTGGAAGTTTACTTTATTGTGGGTTTCCAGCCGACTATAGATTGAAGTGTAGTTGTACTCACCTTCATTGGTGGCAGTTCACTTTATTGTGGGTTTCCATCCCACAATAAAGTTATTGGCCTGAATTATGAGTAACTGAAGCTGTGGGGCAGGGAATACCAGTTATATAATTCATGCACCACATGCCCTGGCGGACAAAGGCAAATTGCATTCACAATATATGTGTTATGATTTGACTTTCACCATGCATCTATTGCAAAAGGTACATGTATGACCAGGGAACCTTGTCATTCATGTTGCTCTTGAATTCGCTGCAAATCAGTAATTAATGTATTTCCATGAATTGGCCGTAAATAGGCAAAAGGGGCAAGCTATACATATTTTACGCTTGCAAAAGTGTTTTGACTTTCATTTCTTATTTTCAGCAAGCGATAGCCAGGTAAGCTGATATTCGGGTCAGAGAATGATGCCTGGGTGGGCCTCTAGTACAATACCAAGCTTGAAATATGAGGGAAATAGTCTTGACTCCTAATCTTTTTTTACAACTTCTGATGTACAAAAGAAAGTTCGGTCATAGTTAGACAAAAGGATGCATGGCCCACATGCTGCATAAATGAAGCATGTGGGCCATGCATCCTTTCGTCGTATCAGTTATCGGTCGAGCAAAGATACCTTGCTTGAGTATTGAAACCTAGTGAAAAAAAGAGGCAATTTACTGCAGATTCCGAAACATGATGTGACTTTGTCAGTGCTAGCTCAAGACAATGTAACAGATAGAGCTTGCTTACACTGATATGCCATG